CTGAAGTCAAGACTCAGGATTAGAACCACCACCACCTCCTCTCTTATTAGCCGTCGTGTTCTTAAGAATCTGCAGAAAACAAAAACAGAAAAACTTGAACTTGTCAAACACATTTGAAACACAAGGATTGTGAATTTTAAAACTTGAGAAGATTAATGGATACATATACCTGTCTAAGCATTTGGTTTTCATTCTGCAAAGTTGAAAGTCTTTCTTCAAGCTGAGAATTAGTGTTCTCTAACTCTACAACTTTCTTCTCCAAATCAGTCAAGTAAGCTTTTTTCCTCTCTCTTGCTTGCTGAGCTGAAACTCTGTTCCTCAATAACCTAAACAAAAGACCGAAAAATCCCTGTCACGACCAAATCTAATGCTAACCTCGGAAGGGTAAATCGGTCATAAAAGACACAAACAAAACCTCTTTAGTCGTTTGTTCTCTTTATCAGCTGAGCTCCTTCCTCTTTTCCTCTGTCTTTCTCCGCCCGTTGTCTGAATCTGCTCCTGACCAGTCTCCGACGTCGAATTACGCCCGGAGGTTACTATTCCGGTGACCTCTCCTCCGAATTCCGGCACTCTCCGTATCTCCTCGTCGCTTTCCATTCCTGCATTTGCAAAGAGATGATCTTTCTCGATCTAGTGACTTAGATTAAGAAAACCCAGATGGGATTTTGAAGAAACAGAGATCAAAGATCGAAACTTTGATAAAAGAAAAAAAAAAAGAGACCTTCTTTGATCTCTAAAGGTGGAGCAGAGCTTGATGATCTCTCACTGCTTGATGGTAAAGAGCTCGCAGCTAAAGAACTAGTCGCCTGCTCCTGCATTTTGCCTTGCTTATCTAGAGATGATTTCTAACGCCGGAGAAAAGTGAAAAGAGCGGGGCTCTGGGCGAGAGAGTTCCTATGGAAAGAAATGAGTAAAGTGAAGCCATTAGATCTGGTAGAGAATGGACGGTTGGTAATGATGAATCGTGGAAGAATATGAACCATGAGGGAAACTGTGAAAGGCAAATATTATTGGATCGTGGAGATATCTTAGCCGTTGATTTAATAAAGGACTACGTGGACCCCATTATTGTCTTCCAACTAAGAGGTTTGGCCCATACCTTTAAACCGACCAAGACAACAACTTGCAAATTTTGACGTGAAGTTCGAAGGCTGATGAACCAAACCCTTGTATCTAAAACCATAATAATTAGCCCTGGGCACGGAGCGGATATCCGATATCCGCGATCCGCTCCGTCCAAATTGGATATTAAATTTTTCGAATCGATCCGTTCCGGTAATTTTCGGATATCCGGAAATTCGAATATCCGAATTTTTTATAAATATCCGCGAATATCCGATCCNATCCGTTAAAAGTCGGATAACCGAATTTTTTTTAGGTATCCGCAATTATCCGATCCGAACCGTTAAAAAATANTTCAAATCCTTAAAACTCAAAATAATTAGATACATACCATAAGTTTACATTATCTTCAAGATAAGTTACCGATCAATGTTACTAGTTTCATAATCATGCCTTTCAAAATAAGATGTTAAGATAAAAACTATACACTTAACATCAAAACATAAGGCAAAGACAAAACCATTCACTAACCTCTAGTCTATAGTCGGATTATTTCCAAGTAGTTCCTTCATATCCAAAAACTTTCACCAAAATCCAAAAAATTTCACCAATCTTTGATTGTCCCTTCATCTTTCATCAGCAATCTGCACAC